CCAATCATAAATATATTTGTAAATAATTAAATTTTTTGAATAAGAAATGTCCAATGTCCAATAAAATTATTGATTGAATCTTTTCATAAAAATATTTATTTAATTTTGTTGGCATTGTCAGACACTATTTGGGGAGTTTGCATGAGAAATGTGATGTTGATCAAAGTGATAGGATGTCAGTACTAAATTATAGATGTTGATCGGGTGGTAGACCACCAAGAAAATTTACATCTCATTATAATGGGAAATAGTTGATGTAAAAAATTACTGTTATGTGCTAGATTATTTTCTATAAAAATTAGCACATGCAAAGAAAAAATAATAATTTTCATAGAAAACATTAAATTATTTACTGTAAAGAACTGAAAAAAGAATTAAATTACATGGTTATAAAGTTGGAAACATTTCTCCCATGGATATAATAGAGATTATGGAAACAAAAATGGAAGATGAAGATGATGATTGAAAAATGATGAGTAGGCAATAGTGCCCAGGAGACAATCATCAAGTGATAATGATTAGTGGTGCGGTCGAGCGAGATTTAATGGGTGATGATGATCTGGTGATGGTAGTCTCAAGACATCATGCTGGCAATAAGAGTCGAAAAGATGATAGTTTAGTGATGTTGTAAGGAGATGGTTGCCAAACAATAATGATTGAGTATTGAGTAGAGCTGCCATAGAGTTTTTCAAATCTCTAAATTAATTTTTTAATATATTATCAACATCGAGTGTCAACATTATTGATGTCATTATATTAAAATTGTTTGAAATGTTTTTGCAAAGGAGATAAAGTTACTAAGACTTCATAAAATTAAGATTTTAAAGGCTATAAAAAACTTCTGAAAATTTATGATAATGATGTTAACAATATTTCTAAGTGTAATGATATCATGTAATCGAATACTATGACTTCTTGTTACTTAAGGCCTTGAATGCATATTTCTTCATATATGAATTTGACTAAACCAAATTATTGTCCATAACAACAACTATTAATAAATATAACTTCATGCTTGCAGGGAATTCAAGAACTCATCAACATCCTCGCATATTTTGCGAATTCTCGATACTTCATTAATCCTAATCATATATCTTCTCTTGGTAGCACAATATTTCTTTCTCCAAGCAGAGCAACCCAATTGAAATTTAGACACCTATAACAATTAAACATCAATTCTTCTTGATGCATGCTATAAATTTCACAACAGTAGAGTAGCAGATTATCGTATTAGTGTGGTATAAAAGTTCAACACACTCGCAGAAGAGATGAAAACTAGTAATGATACTAGAAGTTTTTATGTGAAAACCCCGTAATAAGAAAAATCATAGGGTCTGACCTAGTTTAAGAGTCTCACTATACAATAATAATTACAGTTGCAACCACTTGTGACATAAATATGAAAAGATTATTGGGCTTCTCAAGTTACAACATCGATGTATGCATAAGTTTATTGTTGAAACGGGTAGCGACTGATAGCGATCGACGTCTGTTGGTAAATGGTGGTTGGCGGTATGGGTGGTGCTGGACTTCATCTTCTTCTAAAAACTTCAAGTTCTCTTTCAAGCCTCACGCTCCACCCCCTTACCCTCCCCTCTCATGAGAGGGGCGGGGCTCTATTTATAGAGTTTTTGGGTGCAATTAATGTTGGAATATGAACCACTTTGATCGGATAATTCAGAAAACTTCCATCGAACAAACAATGTTTGATGGACATTTGAGTGCCTTAATGATGTCAAAATTGAGCGATCTTGGGTTCATTTGATTCATCTTTCCAAAACGCTCGATTCGACTATGCACTTGTCGGATTCAACATCCATTTGAAATCCCAAATGTGTCTGGAATACTTCCAAATATGGTTTAATGGCTTAATAATGGCTCAATTTGGTTCATATTAGATTAAAATGGGTACCATTGGGTCCGTCTCGTCGAGCCGGCTAGTCTGACTATAAGTTTGTTGAAATCATAACACTGTATAATTTTTATGCAAAGTTTGAAATTTTCTTGCCTAAAAGGTTGCTTCTAGATCCATATCATTCCTCAAAATTCATGTTGGATGATGGAGATTTGTTGGACTTGTATCATTTCTATTTAAGAAGAGTACTATTTCAACCAAGTTTTGATGTCCCTGTACAATAAGTTGCCTAATTCCTACTCTGAGCGAAAGAAATTTAATCGTTCTTTTGTCGGTAGACAAATCCATCACATATGAATTTCATGTATTCATGGATTATAGGACTTCATTCATATATTTGCTATTTATATTTAATGTTGCATTCTATTAAGCACATTCAACTAATTACAATTACATATTTAAGTTAGTGGAGGCTTCTCAAATTGGAGAAGGTCATATATAGGTTTTGCACACTAGTCTTTTGTATAAACTATTTTCTGTTCTATTTGTTCCCGCTGATTGATGCATGAACATATTCCTCCAATCATAAATCATATGCTCTACTCTTTGCAGACATGATTGCCTCTCATACAATAATATCATAACTTTAGCTTAATATATTTCTTTTTTACTCAAACAGATAATTGTCAAATACCTAATCATTATAAGCTAATTCATTAGAAAAATTCATAAGCTATATTAATTAACTTATAAAGATTTGATTAGTCGATACTAATCATTATGTAACTCAGGTGCTGCATCATTGTCACTTTAACCTTTGAATCAAACATAAAAATAAACAATGCATGAATTCTTGAGAAAATATTGCATCAGGACTCCACACGTAAAGTTACGTGCGGAGTTCAATGAAATTACGTCACGTGGTTGTGACAATAAAAAAAAAGTAAAATCTATCTGATAACACAAAAGAATATTCCTCATGTGTTATTCAGGTGTTATTGTGTATTATTCAGGTGTTATTGTATATTATTCAAGTGTTATTGATATATTATTGTTTTATTATAACACCGGGAATATTCACATAACACAATAACACCTGAATAACATATAATAACACCTGAATAACTTCGAATAACACGGGATGAATATTCCCGTGTTACAGGGCCAAATTTTTTTTTCTCTATGACCTCCACATGACGTGATTTCATTGGACTCCGCACGTAACTCTACATGCGGAGTCCTGATGAAATATTTTTTCTGAATTCTTAGCGCATTGATTGAAATGAAATAATACAATCAGTTATTCGAATTTAAGCGCTCATTTTGCTTAGAAAATAGTTATTATGTTTTTAATAGAATTATAATGCATAAAAATATAAATAACTAAATACTCATTTTCAAAATGACCTATTTGACCTATTTGCATGATTTTTTTTTTTAAAGATATACGAACATTTATTTTTTATATATATTTATATATCTATTGTCAAAATTTTATTTTTCATTTATTGGAAAATATGCATACATGCCACTTGATTAATGCATATTTTTATGTCTAATAAATTTCAATTTTTACATAATATTTTTTTTGTGATATGAAAAATTTGGATGTTATAAATGTAAAAAAGTATAGTTGAGGTGTTTTATATGTAATTACATTGTAATTTGGTGGTATGTATGTAAAAGTCCCATATTTATGAACACATGAAAAATTACAAATATTAAAAAAAAAAGTTTACAACAATAAAATTCAATATTACTCGTGGATTCTTTTCTTAGCGAAAAAGTTCCAGTTTTTTATGTGCTACAGAGTCCAAATTAGGGGCGGAGATCTAATGATGCGCTAAAAATTAGGGTTTTTGGTGGCAGCCGTAATTACATTTTTACTGCAAAAGTTGCGGGATAAAAAAAAAATCCGGTTTTGGAGGCGGAGCCGCGGAGCTATTTGAATCAACGTTTTCCACGACCAAAACCCCTCTCTATCTCCTGTGGCGGCGCTAGCTCTTCTTTCTCGCTCCTAGGGTTTTGCTGATATTTCTAATTTCAACTCTTCACTCACTCTCCATCGTTCCATCTTCTTCCCCTGGTGTTAAGGTTTCGATCTATCATCCTACACCAACTTGATATCCAGTTTCGATTCTGTCTCAAGTCCTCTGCGCTAGATCCGATTATGGCGGCCGTTGCCCCCGCTGCAGATCGTATCCTTTTCACCAGCTTTTGCTGCTATATTTCCGGATTTTCTTGTTTATTTGTGGTTGTGGTTTTATTGGATCTGAATTAGACTTGTGTAATTTTATTAGTATTCCCCCCGTGCTCTATTTTGCAAGGTTTCGTAAGGAATTGTTGCAGATCGAACGCCTGTGTTTGGAGATGTGCAGTTTTTTTTGGTGAAGCTTAGTTTTTTCGTTTTGATTCTGGACTTTTCGAATTGAATCCTTCATGCTAGTTCGTCTGATTTGGGGAGAACAATCTCCTTGTTTGTTTTGGCTCTTTTCCCACTTGCGTTATGGTTTTCATATTTTGTTGACTTTCCTTTTCTGCTTAATCGATTCTTTTGATATGCCAGCGGAATTAGGAAAGTTGATAGGGTTTTTTACAGATTTTCATTGCCGCCCATCTTATCTTACTGGATGTGTTGGCCCTTAATTATTTTTCTTACAGAAGCTGCAGATTTGCTGCAGAAGCTAACGTTGGAATCCAAGAGCAAGACTCATGATGCTCCTGAGGTTGCTAAGAAGGTATAGCTGCTCCGCTGAGCTTGGTTTTCTTGAGAGCACAAGCACAAGCTTGTAATCTCCATGAACGTTGATATATAGCTCCATGTTGAATTTCTGACGATTTATGGTTACACTGGGCAGCCAACAGGGATTCAGTATGGTTCAGCAAATGGCGTGGAAGCACCGAAGGTTCAGATTCCTTCATCAGAGAGATCTGTAACACCTGTTCTTCCGGAGTACATGGATCATAATATTTGGTATCTGCATAACGGTTATCCGTCGTCAGCTTATTATTACAGAGGTGACGTTTAGTTCCCATTTGGTCATTATTTGATTTTTATGGTAATTAATATGATTGTTAATGATATGTTTCATTTCTCTTAATTATCAGTTTATTCAATGAGTTATAACTACTTGCCCCATTGCCTAAAGTTGAAGCTCTTTTAATGGAAGTGCAGAGCTGTTTTTGGCTGTTCAAGCTTTATTTCTTGTATCAAACTTTATTGACTATTTCTAGAATGTTGCTCATCAGCTTATTCTTACAGAGGTTATGATGGTTCGATGGGAGATTGGGACGAGTATTCTAGATATTTAAGCCCTGAAGGAGTGGAGATGCCACATGTAAGAAGCCTTTCCACACTCATATGCCTTCAGTCAAACTTTATTATTATTGCCATTTTCATGCAAAATTCTTTCTTGTTGTTTTGTTGAGGCTGATTTTTAACTTTTCATTGCACTCTTTAATATGTTAGTGTTGACTTCTCCGCATTCAAGCATAAAAATTAAGAAAGATTTATTTACATATGGCATATGTTCCATTTACAAATGGTGGTATTTTTTATGTGATATGAAATATTTGGGTGGTTTAAATGTAATGATAAGAAGAGTTTGATTATGATCATCTGTTTATATTGTTTTTTTTAATTCTGGAAAATTAAACTTACTGATTTTATTAGTGTATTCAGGGAGTTTATGGTGATTTGTATCACCATGGATATGGATATACACCTTATGGTGCTTATCCCTCTTCTGCTTCTACTGTTCCGCCTCTTGGTCATGACAGCCAAATGTACGGCACCCAACATTACCAATATCCTTCTCCATATTTCCAGCCCCAAGCAGTCCCAAATGGAACATACTCGTCCAACAACGTTCCTACTTCTCAGGCAGAAGTTAATTCACCTTCTGTTGCAGATCCGGCTCCTGTGTCTGTAGATGCTGCAAAATCAAATTCAAATGGGGTCAATAATGTTAGTGTTACCGGGAACAGTGGGCCCCAATCTCTAAAACAAAATCAGCAAAATTCAACCTTTACTTCGAATGGCTCATATGGTAGAGGTTATTTACTCGGCAGTCACCCCTCTCCTGGGTACCAAGATCCAAGATTCAATTTTGATGGAATGCGGTCGCCCATTCCGTGGTTTGATGGATCTACTTTCTCTGATGCTCATGTTAGATCCACTACAACCAATGCTGCATCTTCAACTGCTTCGAATAATGCTAATTCCGCATCATTACGAAATCAGAATGCTCGTTCCGTCCCCCAACTCATGGTATTTGCTTTTTATCGTATATTTGTGTAGGCGCAATTACATGCGTAACACACAAATCTTATGTATGTACATGTCTCACACCTAAACTTCCATACTTACAAGTATAACTCTCAAATCTTTAATATCAAATAAAATATAGCAATATTATCGCATTTTGTAAAGCAACAACACCTTTTTATGTGTAGTTTTAACACAACAAAGTGCAATATATGTAAATATGAAACTTTAGGTGTAAGATATATAAATTCATAAGAATTGTGTGCTAGGTATGTAAGTTTTCCGTTTGTGTAACCAGCATTGGCAACTCATATTATATAGCTTTTGTGCATTGCTTCCTACTCTCATTCATAATTCTCCATTACCAATTTGTTTTGGGCTTTCTCGTACCATCCATAATATTTCTCGTGTGTTTAACACATTGCAGGGTTTGCATTCTCCACGACCAACCCCTGGTATGGTGCCGACCGCTCACGGTATCATAAACAGGATGTACCCAACGAACCGGACGAATGGACAGTGCGGCAATGCATTTAGATCCGGAAATGCTTTTGAAACGAATATTTACGACTCCAGAATTAACGGTCGTTGGGGTATGTTTGTGGATGGAAAATACAAGCCTAGAGGCCGCGGTAATGGATATTATGGATTCGAAAATGATAATGGTGATGGATTAAGCGAATTAAACAGAGGACTGAGAGCCAACCGCTTTAAAAATTATTACAAGGCTCCGGTAACTACAATTACAATTGCAGCTAAAGGGCAGAGCCTTCCTCCTTATGAAAATGTGGAGGATCCCAGTGTTGTACCTGGCAAAGAACAGTATAATAGAGCTGATTTCTCTGATAAATACACGGTGGCCAAATTTTTCGTCATAAAGTCGTATAGCGAAGATGATATTCACAAGAGTATCAAATACAATGTTTGGGCCAGCACGCCCAATGGTAACAAGAAACTCGATGCAGCTTACAAGGAGGCGAAGGAGATGACAGTTGAATGCCCGGTGTTTTTGTTCTTTTCTGTAAGAGTGAAATCATTTTCATAGTAATTTTAACGACTCCTGTTTTAGTGCTTGTTATCAAATTTTTGAATTGGGTGATGATAGGTAAATACAAGTGGTCAGTTTGTCGGTGTTGCGGAAATGGTTGGGCCTGTGGATTTTAATAAGACGGTGGATTACTGGCAGCAGGATAAGTGGAATGGTTGCTTCAGTGTAAAGTGGCATATTGTAAAAGATGTACCAAACAATCTTCTGAAGCACATAGCAATCGAGAGCAATGACAACAAACCCGTCACTAATAGCAGAGACACTCAGGAGGTACAAAACGTTAATTAAAGCTTTTATGTGCCTAGTATTTGATTCTTAACCCCCTAATATTCTATTGCTTTTTAATTGTTTTATGTTTTACTTGTTGCAGGTGAAACTTGAGCAAGGTAATCAAATGCTTAAGATTTTCAAGGAGCATACAAGCAAGACATCCATTTTGGATGATTTTGGTTTCTATGAGAATCGTCAAAAGGTTATGCAAGAAAAGAGGGCTAAACAGCTACAGCATAGCAAGCTGGTATACTTCAGTTCTCTTTTGTTTGCCTCAAACTCTTCTTCGTGCATTGTTCCTCCTTTCAATCTTTGTCAGATATTTGGTCTGAAATATGAACGAACTTCTTATTGTAGCTGTGCGACCATGATTCATGGAAGTGCTATTTTCTGAAATTTGTCTCTTTTTATGATTGCTTTTGTCAGATTGTTGATTTGAAACCAGCAGAAACGGTGGATGAAATGGGCAAGGAAGGGATCAATGGAAACCCTAGATTGCAGAAACCTTTGGAATCAGTCACAGTTCTAAAGAAGGAGGTTAATTCGGCCGGCCTTGGTGAACGGAAGCTAGCGGATGACAGTGCTTTGCCTGCAGTCTCCAGTGATGCCACCAAGGGAGCAAGACCGGTGCCGGAAAAGCGAGTCATAACAACCACAAACGGTGCTTCAAATGGCTGCTAAGTCTCAACCTTCAAAACAACAGCAGCCTCAGTTTTGTTTGAAACTTTGTTTCGGCATTTGCTGATTGATGCCAAGTATTCAACAGCTCAAGTATATCTGAATCTTCCATGGCTGCACTGTTAACAGATCAAATTGGGGCTCTTTGATACAGTTGGGATCATCTTTGTCAGTTTGGTGTTGTTCTGAGTCACTTGTAGTGAACTCTTGCTATACTTGGTAGAAGCTAACGCCCTTTCTTCTATACTTGCCTGTTTTGTTTTGCATTTTAGGTAATATTTGCTAGTGGAATGGAATGTCTTTTTTTTTTTTTTACTTTAATGTATTTGCTGTTTTGTTTCCTTTTCTTTCTTGCTTTTTTTTTCTTTTGTTTTTATTTGCCATCTTAGTGCTTTATGGCTTTTAAGTGTTTGGGGTGCGAGTCTCTGGGTTTGAGTCATTTTATGTAGCTTTTTAGTTTTGTAAAGAGGCCTTCTCTGCCTTTGTACTTATTTGAATCTGGAAACAGGTCATATAATAGTCTTCGATGCAATGCAGGAGTTTAATGGCCAAATGCTTTTCTTGTTCCGTTTTCTGTGTTTTCTTACTCTTAAACTCTTCCTGAACCTAAATTTCAAGAACTGTTTTGAAATTTTTATCTACAAAAACTGCCATTTAGGGCCATATGATTCAGTTTTTTGTGCTGCTGTGTGGCGGTGTGCCTTTCAAGGATGTTGGTTTCCCTTGTAGCTGTGTGGTTCAAGTCAGTTTGAATGATGTGTACCTATGAAGGCTTAGAGAATAAGGAGATACTAGAATTTACTTTTGTTATCTTCTCTCGGGATGAATGTTCTTGCGGTAATATATATATATATATATATATATATAATTGATATATATATATACATATATAGGTACAATACTATTCTTATGTATTTACATTTCTATAGTTTGATTAGATATTTACACTTGTAACATTATAGTGTCAAATCTAAGCATGAAAATGTGTGTTCCCTCTTAAAAAGATGGCGATGGTGGTATTTTTGGTATGCATGTAAATATGAATGTTCAGGTGTTAAGTATGCAAATACCCAAGAAATGTGTGGTATATATGTAAATATTCTCTTTCTTTGGCAGAATCTTCAAGTTATATCTAATTGTTTATATTTTGATGCAAGTGTTGTTTTCCTTTTGGGAGAGTTTTGCAGAAGTTCGAGAATACATTTCTTTCAACTTCAAGGAAAAAATGCGTCTAACTTGAATCAAAGCTTGCCATTTGCTTGTTATTGTTCATTCTGATCACTCCTTGCAAAAAAAACATAAAATTTAGCATCGGCTGATTTGCAGATCGAGAATATTACACAATTATCATTGATGAAGCATAGAAATTTTATTTCTATATATACTAATATTCAGGAAATTCTGGCTAGCTGCCATCTGAACATTTGATGTTTCAGATAGGCAAAGTTGCAGTAAACATAAAAGGCAATCACTGTGCACCAAACCCAACTGTACCAAAACAAGCGTTTCAAATACAAATACAAGGAACAAGTTGGTGGTTACATATACGGTAAGCAAAATAAAGACAAGTATGCAAATTTCAAGGCAAACAGACAAATTATAATTATTGTAGCTATTCCCCATAAGTAACTATGATTGCTAGCACCCAGGTGATATAGAAGCAGCCAAATTGTGGAGAAATTTAGCTGTATAGGTCCCATTGAACCTTATGATCTGTTATGACTGTTGAATATCAAAACCAAATAGAGGTCCCGGTAGATTTCCTCCATCTAAGCTCTGATAATGAATAGCAATAAGGAAGATTTACATGCATACCACTCAAGTCCTATGTATTTTTGTATCCAACACCAAAACTTTACCTTTTACATATATACCAACTTACATTTGCATGGAATTGTGTATTTTACTTTTTAGAAGTTAAAATGGTGGTATTTTTTATGTGAAATGAAACATTTGGGTGGTATGGGTGTTAGATGTGTGTAAATACGTGGGATTTAGGTGGTATGTATGTAAATGTCCCTGACTACTGTTAATACTGAAATAAAACTTGTGTGGTTAGTGAATAAATTCTCATTTATTTACATATCTACCAAGACTGTCACATGAAAATGATTTTCTTAAACAAAACTTGTGTGGTGTGTATGTAAATGCCACTTATTACATATAAGTGCAAGAATGTGGTAAATGATTAATCAAATACATAAGTTCACAGGTAAAAATGATAAATTTAAGTATATTTGCAATAATTAAAACTGAGAGGCTAAAATTTTTTTATGTAGTTTGCAGCCAATAGGCTTATATCTTGATCTATGCTTTTTTCTTGCTTGGCACGACATCAATCACCTGCTACAGCAAGCTAAACTACTTTGCTCCTCTAGCTGTTGAAAAAATTGTCATATGACTAAACAATCCAACTCTCCAATATCACGATAAAATCGTTCAGAAAAGCATTGCTAAATATATGAAAAATGTGAGATAACACAAGAAATGAAGAGATTTTCTTAATAAACACATTAATGTCTCTTCAAAATGTTCTTATAAATGTGCTTTGAACTTCATCATTACATCCTCCAACTTGAAGAAAAAAGAAAGAAAAGGATATTTGTTGTTATGAAAAGCAGGACATGGGCATAAAAAGCCTTTATCAGCTCTCTACAAATCCCAAAAAAATTTCACAATTGGACAGTTGTTAAGTATGATTAAGTTAAATTTTGTTGGAATTGTTTTATGAGAATTTGCTTGATTTCTAAATCTTATGTTCGATCGAGTGTTCACTTTGCTGAAATAAAAGAAAAAAAATCATAATGATTTATAATGATAACATGCAACCTCTACAAACATTATAAATGTCCTCATAATCACTATGTTTGATATGAATTAGTTAACCTAAATTTTGTTATAATCAAATAATTCTGAATATCTGGTATAGTGTAAACATATATTAGCATAATGAATTGATTAAGATACAAAGTTAAATGGAGACAGAGAATCACTATAAACAGATAAAAATGCACTAAATCTTTAATTAATCAACTACTTCTGTGTGAACAATAAGAAAATATATTTGACATAAGTTACATTTTCTATGTTTGATATTCTATATATATATATATA